ATTTCAAATTTCCACTCTCCACTCAGTGTTTAAAGAAAATCTAATTTTATCTCTACAGCAAGGATTACTTCTTCCCATCATTATTTCTTTTTTCATATATATAAGCTTTTGTTTGTTTTTTGTTTGTTTTTTGTAATTTATTTTTAGCTGTGTTGGGCCTTTGTTGCTGTGTGTGGGCTCTCTCTTGTTGCGGCGAGCGGGGGGTTTTCTTCGTTGCAGGGCGCAGGCTTCTCTTGCAGTGGATTCTTTTGCTGTGGAGCACAGGCTCTAGGCGTGCGGGCTTCAGTAGTTGTGGCGCACAGGCTCAGTAGTTGTGGCTCGCAGGCTTAGTTGCTCGCCGGCATGTGGGATCTTCCCAGACCAGGGTTCGAACCCATGTCCCCTGCATTGCCAGGTGGATTCTTAATCACTGCGCCACCAGGGAAGTCCCCCCACCGTTATTTCTTACCCCCATCTTACTCTTTCCATTTAAAACTACAGGGAAATCCTATGATAACTAGTATTATAATCTTTTACACTTTGGTCTTCTGGTCCCAATTTCTTTCTCAATAAATTCTTTGAAGGCTACAGTAATTTTACTTGCTTACTAATCCAGTCATTTTAAGGACAAAAAAAAAACTCCTATTTTAAATCCAGGTCATTACCTATTGTGCTGAAGTAGCATAAAGAGAGAGAAGATCAGTAATTCTTTTAAAAATTAGACATATTACTGAGGCACAGATCACCTTTTCTACTATCTGTTGTTACAATATACAGTCCAATAAGCCAAAAGGTACCCTGGCATTGAACCACAGTGGGCCTGATGTGCCTAGGTCTTCCCTCTTTCCTGAGCCAGCTCACTTTTTGTGAAGCGGTCAAAGATACATTGTGTTATTATACCACAATGCCAGTGGTATCTGAAGAGTCTCTTATTCAAATATGATCTAGAATTTTCAAGAATAACCAAGTACTATTGCCAGATGGTCCTAAATGTGGCATTTCTATTTACCTAGTTATTCTCAAATTATCCTTTGTGATTTACACTGAAGCCTATATTTCTCCAAAATCTGCTCATTATATTAAAGATAATCAGTAAAGAATTGCACATCATCAAATTAAATTCAGACTCCTTTCCTTAGCACTCAAGGTCCCAACCTCTGTTTCTAACATTTTTAAACTTTATTATCGTAAAATAAAACACAGATCTGGAAAACCACACACACATAAATAGTATTACTTGATGAAATATTATAAGGCAAATGCTCTTTTGACCCTGCTTAAGTGAAAAAACAGAATTTGTCACCCCAGAAATCCCTCCACATGCTCCATCCCAATGGGAGCCCAGTCTCTTTGCATTTGTTTATGGTTTCATCATCTAAGTGTGTGTGCAACCCGAGTCACAAAATATAGTCTTACCAAATTTTTTTTTTTTTTTTGCGGTACGCGGGTCTCTCACTGCTGTGGCCTCTCCAGTTGCGGAGGGCAGGCTCCGAACGCACAGGCTCAGCAGCCATGGCTCACGGGCCCAGCCGCTCCGCGGTATGTGGGATCTTCCCGGACTGGGACACGAACCCGTGCGCCACCAGGGAAGCCCCAAAATTTTAACTCGATATCTTACAAGTTAAAATAAAAATCTTTAGATTCCCCTGCCCTATCCCTTTCTTTCTATATAATTTTTCAGGTGAAGAACACATAACTGATAGCTTCTTAAAGAACCTACAAACATGCCACCTGAGTTTGTCAGTCTAGATCTGCTGATTGCGTACTCCTGGTGCAATTTAACGTGTTCTTCTGTCCTTTATTTCCTGAAAATTGGCATTGTATCCAGAGGATCAATTAATCTCAAGACCGATTCCATTGATGATGTGTTCTTTCATCAAGAAGCACAAAATGCCTTTTCCCTTTCTGTGATGTTTGTGGCTGGAATGTAAAGTGTCTGGATCCATTAATTCATTAGGGATTGCAAACTTGTGATATTTCGATTCTATTATTTTTTTTTTACTTGTTAGATGGAACAATTTCATAAGGAGGCTCTATAGGATAGAGTTAATCTACAGCTGGTCTTGGAAAACTCTCTCTTTATCTCCAGGGATGCCCGGATTATCTGGCTTTGACTCTTGACCAAGGTAAGTGCACTGAAATTTATGATGTTTTGTTTAAAATCCAAAACTCCCCTGGTGATCCCCAAACTCCAGAGTCAGTTTGTTTATGGATAGTTTTCTACTGGCATAACTGGTTACACAGCTGGGTGATTATGTAACCAGAAGGGCATAAAAGACCTCCTGGAAGCTTCTGTCTTGAGCTCTTTTAAAGCCAAAATTCAAAATTCATTGCACAGATCAAGCTGAAGTGAATAAGAACCATGCGGAGATTTCATCTGACTATCTCTCGGATCCCCAATGCCTACCTGCACTCCCTTTCTTTTGCTGTATCATCTTCTCTGACTTTAGATAATAGCCTTAAATGAGCATGTTCTGTTGAGTCTTATAAGTCTTTTCAAATATCCAAAACTAAAAAAATACTTCCAGAGACAACTCCCCTCACTTACTATTTTTAATCCAATAGTTTAGTTCATATAGAAAGGCAAGATCATGTTTATTTCTTTCTTCTGATTTAACCAGTTTTCAAGAGAATGAATTGGTTTTCTGTTATCTTCAGCAGGTAACTAATTATGAGTTTGTTTTTTAAATATACTTTTTCAACTTGTTTGTTTAAACATAGCCAACAAGTTTAGATCAATTTCAACGTTTATCCTTTATGAAGTTCAAATTGTCCCGTTTCTCCCAGTAATCTTTGTCAACTTTCATGCTCTGGTATGTCAAGATGGTCCAGAGTCATCTTTTGCATTCCTACCCACCCCCAACCTGGTATCATCCATCATTCCAAAAGCACAATCTGTATCCTGGGATGCTCATTGCTACTGGGTCACTCATTGTCTCTAGACCTTTTCAGTGAACAGAACTAACTAGTAAATAAATATTTAAAAATATTTTATGAGTTTATACTCATATTTTGAGTTCAAATGTGGATTATGGGGTGTTTATTTAACCTCTTCTATATATCTTCTCCCGACTGAATACACAATGAACTTTAATGGATATTTGAGGAGGTTTATTTTAAAAGGAGGGAAGTTACAAATATTTGGCTATATAGGAACCACAAAGGTTAGGACAACAATCTGGCACTTGTCACAGGTGAGCTGCTACCAACCTAAAGCACAAATGAATGAGTGGAGGTATTGTCTCTAGAACTTAGAAGGATTAAGAGCTGTGTAGTCAGCGGCTTCCCTGGTGGCGCACTGGTTGAGAGTCCGCCTGCCCATGCAGGGGACACGGGTTCGTGCCCCGGTCCGGGAGGATCCCACATGCCGCAGAGCAGCTGGGCCCGTGAGCCATGGCCGCTGAGCCTGCGCGTCCGGATCCTGTGCTCCGCAGCGGGAGAGGCCACAGCAGTGAAAGGCCCGAGTACCGCAAAAATAAAAAAAATTAAAAAGAGTTGTGTAGTCAGTCATCTTGTTAGGAATCATGACCATGATCAAAGGACACAGTCAGTTCAAGAAAAACTTTCAGGGAGGGAGCCAGAAATTAACTCTGATCTCATTCTCTTCCTTCCTCCTGATCTCCTTCTCCTAGCAAAATTCATGTTATGCATATTGTTTTATAATCTGTTTTTTATACTTACTCTGTTTGTCAACAACTAGTCTTCAAAAGTAGTACTTCAATTGCTAAAAGATATTCTATTACATATATATGCCACAAATAATGCACCCAAGTAGTAAATATTTAATCTCTTTTCTGTTAATTTTCTACCATTATAAAAGAGTTTTTATGGAAATTTATGTGACTAATTGTTTGCATGGGTTTCTACCTATATCTTGGGTAAATATGTAGAAGTAGAATTGATATTCCAAGCAGCAAGTACATTTTCAGTGCTTTGGGGATATTTTGTAAAAGTGCCCTCTAGAAATATAGTAGCACCTTACACTTCCTACAACAGCTTTTTCATACTCGATTAAAAATGTGGGCTCTGATGTCAGATTTTCTGGCATCAAAACCTGACTCAGCTACTTATTAGTTATGAGGCAAGTTACTTAACCAATCTCAGCATCCTTGTTCTGTAACTAGAGATGGTAGTTAGCTACCTACTTATAGGATTGTCTGTTGGAAAGATTAAACAGGATGCTGAACCTTTGAAACAGTGTCTGACATACAGAAAGCACTCAATAAATGTCAGCTAAATAATAGCAGGCATTATAACCCTAAGAATACATATTTGCCAATTTGATATGTACAAAACTTATTTATTATTGTTTAACTTGAAATTCTTTAATAATCAGCTTGAATTTTAAAAAATTTCATTATAAATGATTAACCCTTATTCTTTATGAATTGTTTATTTATGCTTTTCACAGATTCCTTTTATTTTGTAGTATTTATTTTAAATATTAAGGAAGGTATCCATATGTTAGATATAGTTTGTATATTATATATGCTTCAAGTTATTCTCAGGTTGCCATTTGAATTTTAATTGTACATTATAAGTAATTGATTCTATAATTTTTTTAATGATTTCTGATTTTGTCATCATGCTTGTAAAGGCCTTCTACAACCCAAAATAACAAAAATACTCTTTATGTTCTCCAATTACGTTTATAATTTTGTTTTGTATACCTCTACCTTTAATACCTTTGCAATTTATATAGATGCAAGTTGTAAAACAGAGAATCTAAATATCATTTTTCCAAGATGACTGAAGTTTACCCTAACAATTTTGTGTGTGTGTAATATATGATCTTATCACTAATTAGAATAGCATTCTTATTTTACGTGAGATTGTGTAAGCATAGATGTAATTCAGAAATTTCTATCATTTCACTCATATGCCTGTAGCTTTCTTATATATGTGAATATATGATAGGGCAAAGGCTCTTTTATAACTCTCATTTTAATAACTTAACTGAATATTTTGTAAAGTAGCATGTTTTAAAGATAAATAGGTCGCCCTTTCTCTGCAGAATCCCCATGGCAGCTGGGACCCTGTACACACATCCTGAAAACTGCAGGGCCTTCAAGGCCCTCGTTGCCACTCACTACAGCAGGGCTCAGGTGCGCGTGCTCTCCGCACCACCCCACTTCCATTTTGGCCAAACCAATGGTACCCGCGAATTTCTCCGTAAATTTCCTGCTGGCAAGGTTCCAGCCTTTGAGGTTGACGATGGATTCTGTGTTCGAGAGCAATGCCATCGCCTACTATGTGAGCAACGAGGAGCTGCGGGGAAGTACTCCCGAAGCAGCAGCCCAGGTGGTGCAGTGGGTGAGCTTTGCTGATAGCGACATAGTTCCCCCAGCCAGTACCTGGGTGCTCCCCTCCTTGGGCATCATGCACCACAACAAGCAGGCCACGGAGAATGCAAAGGAGGAGGTGAGGCGAATTCTGGGGCTGCTGGATGCTCACTTGAAGACATGGACTTTTCCGGTGGCTGAACGTGTGATGCTGGCTGACATCACAGTTGTCTGCACCCTGTTGTGGCTTTATAAACAGGTTCTGGGGTTGCATTAAGCAGCCCCAGTTCCGGGCTGTCTTGGGGGAGGTGAAATTCTGAGAAAATGGCCCAATTTGATGCTAAAACGTTTGCAGAGAGCTAGCCTAAGAAGGACGCCCCACGGAAAGAGAAAGCTTCTCGAGAAGAGAAACAGAAGCCCCAGGCCGACCGGAAAGAAGACAGCTGCCCCTGCCCAAGGAGGAGCTGGATGAACGTGCGCAGGCAGTGGCTGCTGAGCCGAAGGCCAAGGATACCTTTGCTCTCCTGCCCAAGAGCACCTTTGTGTTGGGTGAATTTAAGCGCAAGCACTCCAAAGAAGACACATTCTCCATGGCGCTGCCGTACTTTGGGGAGCACTTTGATAAAAATGACTGGTCCCTGTGGTACTCCGAGTACCGCTTCCCTGAAGAGCTCATCCAGGCCTTCATGAGCTGCAACCTCATCACTGGAATGTTCCAGCGATTGGACAAACTGAGGAAGAATGCATCTGTCGGTGTCCTGCTCTTTGGAACCAACAATAGCAGCTCCATTTCTGGGTCTTCCGAAGCCAGGAGCTTGCCTTTCCGCTGAGTCCAGATTGGCAGGCGTACTATGAGTCAAACACATGCTGGAAACTGGATCCCAGCAGCGAGGAGACTCAGACTGGTTCGAGAATACTCTTCCTGGGATGGGGCCTTCCGGCACGTGGGCAAAGCCTTCAATCCGGGCAAGATCTTCAAGGGAACATCTCTTGCCATTGCCTAGCTGCCCACACCTGCCCTTCAGGGAGAATGGGGGTCATTAAAGGAAACTGAACATTGAACCCTTTCCTGCCCTGCCTCCTTTGTGGGTGATGGCTTCTTCAAAGGGGAGTAGATATGTTGAAGCAGGGTGTTGTCTATACCTGCAGGACCTCCCTGTGCAGGAAAGAAGTCTTCAGAAGAGCAGAAAGAGAGGCCTCTCCTGAGTTTTGATTTTTGTTTTTTTAATTGCCTTGCCTCTCCTGTGATGACCGTCTTCTAGGCTAGCTGGGAAAGATTGGATGTAGTTAGAAGGTGGTGACATGGGGCTTTGTAACTACCTAATTCCAGACCTTCCTGCATGAAGGGGGAGAATACCTGCTGACTGGGTGAGAGCACAGCAAATGCAGAGTGACTTAACACTACTTCCCTGCTTCCCGCAGCTGCCCTGTGAAGTGGGGCGGCAGCTGTATCCAAGAGTTATAGTTTCAACACTTCAGACAAACGGCAAGAAGAGGCACAGACTCCTTGGAACAGATGCTGGCTTGTGGGCCCTAACCTGGCTGTGGATCATCTCTGGGGTATCCCTACTTTCTATCAAGGAAGCGGGGTTCAGAGATTTAAGCAACTTGCCTGTGATCACACATCTTAGGTGGTGGAGACAAGATTTTGAACCCAGTGGTTGTCACTGGAGCCTGTACCCTAAACACGCCCTAGCACTTCCTGCAATGTAGAACAGTCATAAATGTCATTTAACAGCTCTGAAAAAAAAAAAATATATATATATATATATGTCATAATTCATTTAAGGTTCTGGGAATTTATTGGAAGTCACTAACATTTAATAAATAATAAAAATATAGAAATCGTAGACTTCATTATATGTATTTGCAGTAAATATTATTTATAAAATTATTATTGCCTTTGTGTGTGTTTGTGTGTATAAGTGTGTATGTGTATGTGAATTGAGTCCTAATTCTTTTTGGTTTTTTTTTGTTTGTTTGTTTTTTGCGGTATGCGGGCCTCTCACTGTTGTGGCCCCTCCTGCTGCGGAGCACAGGCTCCGGACGCGCAGGCTCAGCGGCCACAGCTCACGGGCCCAGCCGCTCCGCAGCATGTGGGATCCTCCCAGACCAGGGCACGAACCCGCGTCCGCTGCATTGGCAGGTGGGCTCTCAACCATCGTGCCACCAGGGAAGCCCCATGAGTCCTACTTCTAAACATGATTCATACTGTAGGTTACAATCAAAAAAGATTGAAAGTCACTGCTGTAATGTAAATCTTTTTAGATAATATTAGAATAATTTTTCAAGTTCCAATCTCCCCACCAAAATTTTTCCATGATATTTACTAGCTTTATATTAAGCATCACTATTTTTACTTTCCATTTTAAAAGGTAATTTTGTCCAAAGTAGTTTGCAGGCTTAATCCATTCCCATTACATTTTAGTATTTTTCAATGTGTTAAAGACATCTAATTTGGAACTAATACGGATTTGTCTTCTGTAATTTCTGCTCTGCAGCTCTCTGAATTTTATTCACTACTTGGTAACGTAACATTTACTCATACTAAATTTACAGCTTCTCTTTGCATCACGAAAACCTTATTCCATCGGCATGTGTGTGAGAGCTATTTCCCATGCCAAATGGGTGGATAGCATGCCCTACTTTGGACCATTTTAATCCTTGAGTTTAAAAAGCAGTCGCGGGCTTCCCTGGTGGCGCAGTGGTTGAGAGTCCGCCTGCCGATGCAGGGGATATGGGTTCGTGCCCCGGTCTGGGAAGATCCCACATGCCGCGGAGCGGCTGAGCCAGTGAGCCATGGCCGCTGAGCCTGCGGGTCCGGAGCCTGCGCTCCGCAACGGGAGACGCCACAACAGTGAGAGGTCCGCGTACCGCAAAAAAAAAAAAAAAAAAGCAATAGCCATATCACTGAGATGTACAGGTAGCAATGAAACATTTGTGTACACTAAGAAATTGAAGGAGTAAAGCTTTTACATGTCACCTGGTATTATATGAGCTTTGATAGGAAAACAGTAATCAGAATATATCATCTTTTATAAACTAAATGAGCATTCATAAATAACTGTCTAAATGTCAGAGGTAGATCAATAATAGATAGATAACTAGAGATATCTATATCTATCTGTATACATACTGTATATCCTTCTTTATAGTACTCTTACCAGCATCAAGGCTCCATGTAATATGTACCTGGAATTGTGCCTTATTCTATTTAAACCCACCCTGTTAAGGTTTAAATCTTCAGTGTACAAATGATGAAACTGACACTTATAGTTTAAAAACTCACCCAAGGACACAAAGCTGGTATGTGGCAGATCCAAGACTGGAAGTCAGAGTTTCTCACTCTGAAGCACAAAATGGACAGAAAAGCTGTTTTCTGTAGGTTCTACCTATATCAACAGATATATTTTTTCCCTAAGTCCAGAGTCACTTGTGACACTTAATGTTGTCATTGGGTGGACTGGGTCCTGATTCTCTCTCACCCACTCAATTTCATTTTGCAGCAGTTACCCCAGGTCTTTTCACTCTAGACATATTGGCTTTTTTTTTTCTTTTTCTTGAATTCCCATTTTTCATTTATAGAACTTTTTGAGAGAATACATGATTCGTCTAATTAAACTTCATATACAGGACAAAGCAAAACAAGTTGAATGTTTTCATTTTTCACTCTGGGGCAAAAAAATAAGCTTTTAGTTAAATCAACTTAAGAAACAGCTTGAATTGCAAGATAATACTGCTCCTATAAGTAATTGCTTATGTGCCTGTCCTATTCATAGTGGAAGAGCTATGATTTATGAGCATTTTTATTTAAAGTATAATCTTGGATTTATTCCAAATAATCGCCATCTTTGAAATGTTGTCAACCTGGGATAGCCACAGGGATGCCAGAATTAAAGTATTATATCAGCTCACCACATGGTCCACCCATTGGGCTCAAGCACGTTTTTATCCGTCTCTCTTTTATCACATATTTCCTTACTTCACATTTATATTTAATCCATTGACTTCCATGATTTCTTTTATACCAGAGAGCATGTGAAACACAGGGAAAATGAGTAGACATATTCACTTAGCAGGAGCTTTCTTCCTGGCTCTCTTTCTCTCTCTTTCTGGCTAAAACTCCATTAGGCAAAAGTGCTCCTGGTATTAATCTAAGATGATTAGCTGTGAAGTGGAACACAAAGGCTGGCCTGGGGTGGAGACATCTGACAGTGGGAAGATACTTCAGAGTAAAAGAATCAAGAAGAACATGAGTTTAAGAGGCAAACTTCAAACAATATTAGGCACAAGAAATAATGTTAGCTGCAGCTGCAAACCAAATGGAAAAGTATATTCGCCAGTGTAGAGACTGTTCCTGGCCTTTCATTAGCTGTGCATGGGTCCCAGAGATCAACACCAGTATATTTCAGTTCAGCTTTTTTTCTCTCTCTCTCATCCTCCTCTTACTTTTTACTTTTTAAAAATCTTTTATGGGAATATAATTGCTTTACAATGTTGTGTTAGTTTCTCTTGTACAAGGAAGTGAATCAGCTACATGTATACATATATCCCCTCCCTCTTGAACCTCCCTCCCACCCCTCCATCCCACCCATCTAGGTCATCACAGAGCACTGAGCTGAGCTCCCTGTGCTGTACAGCAGGTTCATCACTTGACTTTTTTTCCCTACGTGCCCCCACATCTTATTCCTTTAGCTTACCTAACTAGCTATTAATGTTGTGTTAGAGGCAGCACTGCTTCTCTTATATACTACGTGCTCCCCTAAATAATCCAGCCTCCCTTGCAATTATATTAGGCCATGAGGCTAGTTCCAGCCAATACTGACTTATCAGAGGTGACCTATTTCACTTCTAGACCAAATGTTTGATAGTGTGGTACCTCTCTCAGGAAAGGGAGACATCACAACATACAGGGAACCCAGATCCCTGAGTCACCTGATGGAAGAGCATCTCCAGTGACTGGCATCAGACTTCCTATGAATAATTATTAAAAGTTGTATATGAAACTGTTGAGATTCAGAGATTAATTTGTTCCTATAGCATAGTCTAATTTATACATTAAGCTACACTTTAAACTAATATATACATTGATATTCACTACTAATGTGCCAATTAAGTGGAAAGAATGCAAAGGTCACACATTAGGAGTCTAGGATTTTACTTCTATCCATTTTATATTCCTTCAAACAATATGTATGAAGTTTCTACAGTATTTTAATCATTGTTTCAGACAGGCCCTGGGAATAGTAAATAAGACAGATCAGATCCCTGTTCTCAGAGAAAGGGTCAGACAAAAATTAAGTAAATGAACAAATTAGGTAATTCAGAGTTTAATAAGCACTGTTAAAGTCAATTCTAACATTGTGTGAGACCGGTGACTGGGGGGACTATTTAATTGAATAGTTAAGGAAGACCTCACCATCTTAGAATTAGGACATGAATGAAATAAATGTACTAGTCCAAATATTTCAGAGAAAAGAACTTGGGTATAAATATTCTTAATGCATTAAGAAAAAGGAAGAAATCCAGGGTAATGGAAGCATCACAGTGAGCCTGAAGAGAGTAGTACTGTATGGGGCAAGAGTGATATGCACCATTTCAGTCCATAGTAAGGATTTGCAATTTTATTCTAAATTCTATGAGGAAATATTGGAGAAATTTAAGTAGGAAAATGTTTTAATTGTGTTTGCATTTTCATAAGTTCATTCCAGGCATAGTGAAGAGAATATGCATATTTTTAATACAGAACTGACTAGACTCACTAATAAATTAGATTTGCAAAGTGAAGAAATAAAGAAAGCAATAACAGCTCCTAGAATCTAGACTTGTACAACTGGTACACAGTGATGTCTTTTGCTAAGATGAAGGAAGCTGGGAGGAGAATTTTCTTTCAGATGGGATTTATGATGTCAATTACACATCCAAGTGGAGGTGTTTAATAGAAAATTAGATAAAAAATACTAGAGCACAGTGAAAAAGAGTGAGAAAAATTTGGAAATATTTT